GGGTATGTCTAGTTTAATGAAGAGAAGGACGAGGGGGGACAGGATAGCAGCCTTCCAGTATCTCAGGGGCTGCCCCAAAGAAGAGGGAGTCAAGCTATTCTCCAAAGCGCCTGAAGGCAGGACGAGAAGCAACGGATGGAAACTAAGCAAGGAGAGAAGCAAGCTAGAACTAAGGAGAAACTTCCTGACAGTGAGAACAATTAACCAGTGGAACCACCTGCCTCCAGAAACGGTGAATGCTCCAACACTGGAAGTTTTTAAGAAGAGACTGGACAGCCATTTGTCTGAAATGGTATAGGGTTTCCTTCCTGAGCAGGGGGTTGGACTAGATGACCTCCAAGGTCCCTTCCAACTTTTTTTTTTTTTTTATTATTATTATTATTATTATTATTATTATTATTATTATTATTATTATTATTATTATTATTATTATTATTATTATTATTATTATTATTATTATTATTATTAAGATCCAAAAGTCCTCAAGGGTGCGGATGCTGTTTCTGATGAGGTCTGTGATGTTGGGACAGCAGCATCAAGGGAAGTCAATAGCCTCTGCCTAATGTCCTTCCTAGGGACCAGCTCCTTTGGCAATGTGGGATTGTGCTGCCACCTGCTGGCCGCGGTGCTCCCTGCTCCTTTTCATTCTTGGCCTGTTTGCTGACTGTGACAGGACGATGGGAGTTGAAGTCCGGCCTCTCTAAACCAGAAGCCCCCAACCTTTTGGGCACCAGGGACCGCTTCCGTGGAGAAAGGTTTTTCCACGGACCGGAGTGTGTGTGTGGTTTTGTGTGCTGCCTGCATCCCGCGGATGGGGCTTCGCTTGTTTGTGCGGACCGGTTGCTAGCATGCCGCGGCCCAGTACCGGTCCACGGACCGGAGGTTGGGGACCCCTGGTTGACACAATGCACAGAGTCATAAGCTAGCCAAGCAGACACCAAGTGTGATCCAATTCACGTTCTACGGAAGCTGCAACCTCTACACAGCCCTGGTTAACAAGCACATTCCTGCACGGCTGCAGCGAGTGGCTTCTAAGTAAACACACTCATAATTGTCACCAAGCTAGATGCAAAATGTGGGTTGCAGGCGTTAGTGAAACTACTGGAACCAAACAGATTGATTTCCTTAAATTACTACACTGATGTTCAGATAGGCCCTAGAGCAGAGCCCCCCAAACTTTTGGGCGCACCGGAGACCGGTTCCATGGAGAGAGGTTTACTCACGGTCCGGAGGGTGCGTGGTTTTGTGTGCTGCCTGCATCCCGCGGATGGAGCTTTGCTTGTTTGTGTGGACCGGTTGCTGGCATGCCGCAGCCCGGTACCGGTCCACGAACCAGGGGTTGGGTACCCCTGTTCTAGAGGGCAGCATTTCCAGGATAGCTGCGTGTTTGCAATTGGAAGAGGCTTCCCTGCAACTGGAAGAGGCTTCCCTGCCTCCTGTTCAGAAATAGCTTAATCCAGATTTAGAAGTGGGATCTAGGTTGACTCCTCCTGTAGTAGGAAAAACTCTCCATCCAGCCAGATTCCATGCCTGGCTGGAGAATTCTGGGAGATGAAATCCACACATTGGAAAGTGACCAAAGGTTGAGAAAGATTGTCTAGAGAGGAAAAGTAGGGAGGTAAGGAGAGGGGGTCAAGCTATTCTCCAAAGCCCCTGAAGGCCGGACAAGAAGCAACGGATGGAAACTGATCAAGGAGAGAAGCAACCTAGAACTAAGGAGAAACTTCCTGACAGTGAGGACAATTAACCAGTGGAACAACCTGCCTCCAGAAGCGGTAAATGCTTCAACACTGGAAGTTTTTAAGAAGAGATTGGACAGCCATTTGTCTGAAATGGTACTATAGGGTTTCCTGCCTGGTCAGGGGGTTGGACTAGATGACCTCCAAGGTCCCTTCCAACTTCATTATTATTATTATTATTATTATTATTATTATTATTATTATTATTATTATTATTATTATTATTATTATTATGGATCATCGCATAGTCAGCCAGATGTTCAGACTGGATTTGGCCTTTTTGTCTACCTATGGAGTCCTTACCCAGGACCTGGGATAGGCAGATGTGGATGTTTGATGGTATTACAGATCTCGTCGCAGGATGGAAGCAGTTCCTAGTAAGGCCGCCTTTTGCAATTGACTTAATGGCGAATCTGTCAATGCCGATGATGGTGTTCAAGTGGTGTTCCAGATGTTTTGGGATTGCACCCAAGGCACCTATTACTATTGGTACGACCCTTGCTTGCTTTTGCCACAGTCTTTCTATTTCTATTTGTAGGTCTCTGTATTTTGTGATCTTCTCCAGTTCTTTCTCGTCTATTCTGCTGTCTCCAGGCACTGCCACGTCCACTATCCAGACTTTTTTGTCTTTCTTATCGACAATTGTTAAGTCTGGGGTGTTATGTTGCAGGTGTTTGAATTCTGAAGTCCCAGAGCAGTTTAATTTTATTATATAATAATAATAATAATAATAATAATAATAATAATAATAATAATAATAATAATAATAATAATAATAATAATAATAATAATAATAATAATAACAACAATAATAATAATAATAGTTATTGTTATTGTTATTGTTGTTGTTATTATTATTGTTATTATTATTATTATTATTACCACCACCTTGGGTCAAGGAGAGCCATAGACTCCTTCCCTACTCACAGGTAAGGCATCAATACAGGCAGTCCTCAATTTACAACGGTTCATTTAGTGACCTCTCAAACTTGTAACGGCATACTTTTCTCCTCACACTTTCTTCGACCGTTGCAGCATCCCCCAGGGTCACGTGATCAAAATTCAGACGCTTGGCAACTGACTCGTCTTTATGACGGTTGCGGGGTTCCCGGGGTGTGTGTGTGTCAAGGAATCCCCTTTGGTGACCTTCTCACAAACAAAGTCAACGGAAGGAAACTGGATTCACTGACTAATTTAACAACTGCAGGGTTTCACGTAATGACCATGGCAGGAAAGGTTGTAAAATGGGGCAAAACTCAACTTAAACAACGGCCTCACTTAGCCACAGAAATTTTGGGGTCAGTGATGTTCGTAATTCAAGGACTGCCTGTGCTTTGTTGATCTTGGCTGCTCTTGAGAAGCAGAATTGGGCCTGGCTAATACCTGCATGGGAGTCCACCTGTTGAAAATCCCTCTAGCTCAGGAGCCTTCAAACATGGCCCTTGTATGACTGGTGGACTTCAACTCCCAGAATTCCTCAGTCGGCCATTTTGATGAAACTGCGGGCTTGGATCCAGACCAGGGGTCTTTAAACTTGGTCCTTTGAGAATTGGTGGACTTCAACTCCCAGAATTCCTCAGGCGGCCATTTTGATGAAACTGCGGGCTTGAAGCCAGACCAGGGGTCTTTAAACTTGGTCCTTCTGTGACTTGTGGACTTCATCTCCCAGAATTCCTCAGCCAGGCACACTGAGGAATTCTGGGAGTTGAAGTCCACAAGTCACAAAAGGGCCAAGTTTGAAGACCCCTGGTGTTGACTAAAGGCATCTGTAATAGTTTTTCCCCACAGGATATCGGTGCTTAGCTGTGGTCTCTTTAACTACTAGAGTTTGTTGAATATCATGACTGAGTGGATATGACCGAGGGTGAAGCTCCCGCCTCTGGCCCGCGTGCCATAGGTTCGCCCCCACTGCCCTAGACCTCCGTGCTTGGGTGATCCACTCCCCAGTTAACCCTTGCTTCTCCCTCGGGCAGGCAGGACAAGCTGAAGATCCACATGCGGAAGCACACGGGGGAGAGGCCGTACCTCTGCATCCACTGCAGCGCCAGGTTCGTCCACAACTACGACCTGAAAAACCACATGAGGATCCACACCGGCATCCGTCCCTACCAGTGCAAGTTCTGCTACAAGAGCTTCACCCGCTCGGATCACCTCCACCGCCACGTCAAGCGCCAAAGCTGCCGGATCTCCCGGCCCAGGAGAGGACGCAAGTCGGCACCCTGGAGAGCGGCCAGCCTGCTCTTCGCCCCGACCGGACCACCGGACAACAAGAGCTTCCTGGTGCCCCCGGTTCTGGAGGACATGAGTGGCCACTTGGGGGGCCCGGGGCTGTGCCTTCCGGGCCCCGGGCCCTTCCTGGATGGGGCCAAGAACGGCTTGAACCTGCAGGAGCTGCAGAACCAGCTGGAGGCGACCCAGATGAAGCTCTTTGGGCGGACACACCTGGACCTGGAGCACAACGGGGGCCTCTTCGCCTTCGCCCTGAGCCACGGCGAGGGTCTCTCGGGACGGCCCTATTTCTCCCTCCCGGATCCCTGGGTTTCGGGGTTCAACGGACTGGCTGCCCTCAACCCCCTGGCCTCTCTCTCTGAAGCTAGCAACTGAGTTGACTTCTCTTCGAGGGACGGGTTGGGTACGTAACCATGTCTGCTCTCCTGATGCTTACTCTGCTAGGAGAAATGTGGAAATCCCCACTTTTTAAGTGTGTCGAACGCAACTTGCCCGGATTCCTGTGAATGTCTTTGGGGTACAGGGGGATAATTCTGCTACGGAAGGGGGGGAAGGCAGCCCCTTCAGAGGAGTGGGGGGGCTTGCTGTAGACTCCCAGGATGTCAGGGTTAGACAGGGCTGGAGATCTTTGAACCCAAGAGGTGACCAAACTTGGCAACTTCAACTCCCAGAATTCCCAATTTATCCATTCCCCCCAAATTAGCTTCTAGTTTAGACCGGCTTTAGGTAGCTTCCAACTCCCTAGCTGTCCAACATGGCTGGCTGGGGAATTCTGGGAGTTGAAGGCCACAGGTCTTACAATGGCCAAAGTTGGACACCCTTCTTCTAATTAATTAATTAAGCCAATAAGATGATCCAAGGCCTGGAGGCTAAAATATACGAAGAACGGCTGTGGGACTTGGGTTTGACTAGTTTAAAGAAAAAAAGAAATAGGGGTAACGTGATAGCAGAGTTCTAGTATCTGAGGGGCTGCCACAAGGAAGAGGGGGTCAGGCTGTTCACCAGAGCACCAGAGGGAAGAACGAGAAATAACAGATGGAAACTAACCAAGGAGAGAAGCAACCTGGAATTAAGGAGAAACTTCCTGACAGTGAGGACAATTAACCAGTGGAACAGCTGGTCACCGGAAATCGTGGGCGCTCCATCCCTGGAGATTTTTAAGAAGAGACTGGACAATCACCTGCCTGAGATGGTATTAGGTTCTCCTGCTTGAGCAGGGGGCTGGACTAGAAGACCTCCTAGGTCCCTTCCAGCTTTATTCTGTTCTGTTCTATTCTACTCTATTCTAATTATTATTATTATTCTATTCTACTCTATATTTTCTTTATTCTATTCTATTCCAATTTCTATTCTATTCGATTCCAATTTCTATTCTGTTCTGTTCTGTTCCATTCTATTCCAATTTCTGTTCTACACAACTGTGGCTTGGGTCCATTTTCTCAGTAACGTCAGTCATGTAGATTTAACTTCTGCCTTTTTGCTCTCCTGTCTCAGGGAAGGAAGATTTACGGTGGGGTCTTTGGTGCTCTCCGAGCTTGGTTGTGTTCTTGCAAACGTTTTATTACCAAACTAGGTCATATCATGAGGGCTAGGACCTAGTTGGGCAATGAAACATCTGCAAGAACACAGCCAAGCTCAGAGAGCACCAAGGACCCAACAATTCAACTCTACAAATATTATCTTCAATGGAAGATGTAGCTTCACAAAAAGATTCCTTTGCAGAATGATAATCAAAACCTCATCTAGGTTATTATTAAAGGTTGAGAATAGAATAGAATAAGAATAAGAATTAGAATAAGAATTAGAATAAGAATAAGAATAAGAATAAGAATTAGAATAGAATAGAACATAACAGAATAGAAGCTGGAAGGGACCTTGGAGGTCTTCTAGTCCAGCCCCCTGGTCAAGCAGGAGAACCTACACCATCTCAGCAAATGGCTGTCCAGTCTCTTCTTAAAAACCTCCAGTGATGGAGCGC